AGCAACAATATTATTACATCGATATTCTTAAATAATATACCTATGAGATACTAAAAAAATCACTAAAATCGGACAACAGGTTTAGGAAATTCGAGACATCTAACATCTCCCAATTTTAAGGTGTTCCGTTAATTTTGCCGGTGAGTGTATATGTAGCAAGGATGAAAAATAAAAAGACAATCAAATTGACTTGAAAAAGCTGAAAACTTATAGAAAAACGCCCCAAAAAATAAATCGTCCAAATTTCAAGAAATAAACAAATTAGTTAAAAAAGTTTTGTCAGACCGCGGAGTTGGGATTTAGGGGTTTATACAATAAAGTAGCGGGTACATACCTTTACAATCCCGGGGGAGGATAGATCTACTCAGGAGTAGCAAACCTGCCCTCGCGAATTTATGGTTTTGGCCCTAAATATCTTTCCTCGCGGGGAACCATGTCATGGCCTATAAAATTCCCAAATTCCTATATACACTTTCTTTCTCTCTCCATCGTACCCAACAAGAATATGTAGAAAACCATATGCAAAAAATCCGTAAGTTAAGGTGAAAGCTATGGTGCTAAAAACTGAATAGTCCCACGTCACGTGTTAGCTAGCGATGCTCTTGGGATACTAAGAGAAATTACATAGAATATTGGCCTTGTTTTTGTGTGCGGGGCTCTTCAGGAATCGACCAACGGTCGTTAGCTACTCGTGGGAATAAATATGAATACTTACCAACATATAAGGCAAGCACGCTGTTTAAATGTCAAAAATCCGAACAATGTAAACCAACCCTACTCAAAGTGAGCCGAAAAGATAAATCTCAACATCGTCACATATAATGCTCGGTCACTCTCTAACGACGAGAGATTCGATGAAATGAAGAAAAAACTCTCAAAAGTCTTCTTCTTCTCCTTCTTTTTATATAGACATGACTCTCTCTGATTTTCAATATGCCTTCAGTAAGTTGTTGTTCCATCGTTTTCGTGGTCTTCCTACTGATCGTCTTCTTATTGGGGAACCCTCTCTTGTCCTCTTTACTACTATATTTTTTGTCATTCGGCTTATATGCTCGTTACATTTTACTTTTCTATTTTTTATTCAGTTCTTGATGTTCGTCACCTTGTATCTACGTCGTATATCTGTACTTCTAGCTCTGTCCCGTAGTGTCTTACCATCAATTTTTCTACGTGTTTTCATCTCTGCTGTTTCTAACATTCTTTTTGTCCTCTCTGTGTCAGGCCTTGTTTCTGACGCGTATGACATTATTGATCTGATGACTGTTTTGTATGTTCTGCCTTTCATTTCTTTTCCGATATTTTTATTTCTTCATATTGTTTCATTCAGACAGCCTGCGTCTTTGTTTGCTCTATTCACTTGATCTTTCACTTCAGTTTTGAGCTTTCTGTAGCTAGATAATGTGATGCCTAAATATTTAAACTCTATCATTTGTTTATTATCTGACCTTCCGGCTGCAATTTACGTCTTAGTAAATTTGCTGTTGTAACCATGCATTTTATCTTTTTTGGGGAAATTAACATGTTAAATTTTCTGGCGGTTATATTAAATTGATGCAACATACGTTGTAAATTATCTTCACTTTAAGAGAGGAATATTGCGTTGTCTGCATAGCAGATTATTTTAAGTTGTTTTTCTTCCATTTGTTATCCTTTTTTAGTTCTAATTTTTTTTTTATTATTTCATCCACAATCAGGTTAAACAATAGAGGACTCAGGGAATCTCCCGGTCTTATGCTATTGCTACATTCAATAGGGTCGGTTAGTTCTTCTTCTACTTTTACTTTTATTGTGTTGTCTTGGTAGATATTTTCGACCGATTTGATTATTCCTAAAGGTGTCTCTCTTGCGTCGCTTTACTCTCAAAAGTGAATTGGAATATTTTCGGTATCAGTGAAGACAGAAAAAAGGGAAGCTTCTAAAAGTAAGATACCTACACGCCTGAAGAGAAAAGTATTTGATTAATGCGTCCTCCCAGTGTTGATATACGGAGCAGATATACTTACTTTAACAAAAGCCTCGGCTATCAAACTGAGAGTCACACAGCGAAGAATTGAGCGATCCATGTTAGGAGTAACCCTGCGAGACGAAATAAAAAATGAAGAGGTCAGGATAAGAACCAAGGTGACTGACCTCATCGAAAGCACAGCCGGACTAAAATAAAGATAGGCAGGCCACACACCTAGAATGATGGATTACCGATGGACAAAGAGGTTATATGAATGGAGACCAAGAGAGGTCCAAAGAAGCGTAGGTCGAGCTCCTACACGATGGGCTGATGATTTAAGAAGACAAAATAAAAACTGAATGAGAATGGCACAAGATAGATGGAGTTGGAAATACCAGGAAGAGGACTATGTTTAGCAGTGGACTTCTGAGACTAGATGATGATGCTGATGATATTGTAAAATAACATGTAACTAATGTAGTAAATGTAGTCTCATGCTACGGCATGCTGCACAAGCCATACAGCTTGTAATCAACACCCAAGGTACGAGAGAAACACAAAGTGTATCAATACTCATAAACTTATGAAACGCACCTGGCCCATCATAAAGGGTTTCACATCTACCTTCACTAACTTTTGTTTCTTCATTACCCAATAGTTATTAGCTTTCCGAGAGCACTATCTTCTTTTTACTACACCATTAACTTTTCAAGAAAAAATCATCATAATAGCTGATAAATACAACAGCCCTTAGCACGGACACCCCTTAAACAGAACAAATATTAAAAGAATCTCCTGATCAGCTAAAATCGTAAATAAATTTGGTAACTAGAGGAAAATAGATACATGAAACGTAAGTATATACGAGTTAGGAAAAATTCATAACAAAAGTATCTTTGCAATCAATGAAATGACATGGTCAGGCTCTGGCAAAATAACTACAGTCGATCGTATTGTATACTATGCAGAAGAAAACAGTATAAAACACAGAAATGGGGTAACCGAATAAAATGGACCGAAGCAACGTGTTAAAAATACGAAACGTTATTTGCAGCCACCATCTTAGTGCTGACGTTCGTATTAGAATGTCCAATTATTATATCTTTCCAGGATTCTAAGTGAGACTTTTATTGGTAATATTTAAACCTACCTTTCACAGAAAAATTGATGAAGACCTTAAAACATAAAGAGTTCAGTTAGGTCCAGAAGTGAGAAACGCTGATTCTACCTCACTAAAATTTTTTAAAGTAGTTCTAGATAATCTTATTAAACAATTAAAAGCCTCCATCACTTAAAGTAAGCAGAAGATATTGCTGGGTATGAAAAAACATCAAAGGGTTAGAAGCTATGTTCAGCGAAGTAAATGAACTATTAGGAAGTTTTCATGTTGGGCCAGGAAAACCAAAGTGCTGAAGTTTCCCGAAGGTCAACTAATAGGAGTTGCTTCTGATAAACTTATGTTTATATTTAAGGATAGGAACATTCTTATCAGTAACAAAGAATAGTTTATGATAGCTACACATTGTCAGTGGAAACATGGTCCTACAACTCTGACAATTGATATTGTTTTGTTAAGAGAAAACATTAAAAAGTTAGAAGTTACGCTAAGAGAACTAAATGAACTTTTATTACATCATCATATTGAGCAAAAAAACCAAAGTGCTGAAGCTTCGTAATTCGTATTTAGGAATAGGAACATTCTTTCCAGTCACAAAGAAAAAGTCTATAATAGCTGCATATAGTAAAGAAGTCAGCAGACAAACTGAGAGGAACTCAGATATCAATTGAATAAACAATGTTAAAAATATCTATGACAGAATAACGAACTTCGGAAATTCTAAACAGAGCAAAAGTCATTGAGAATGGAGTATTACATGTCACTGTCCCAGTAATGGAATGCATTTGCAGTCTTAAGTGGAAACGTGCCCATCAGAATATATATATAGTTGGAAAATGAGGGTCATAAAATGAAGACTAAGTGTACTAAAGAGAAATGTCAGAGTACCACCACTAAGATAGGTAAATGGTATTAAAAACATATTTGAAAAAAACAGGACAAAAGTACTATATGGAAAAACAGGGAAGACGGCTATATCCAGCAGCGGATTAATGAGCTAAAAGAAGAATATACGGGAATATAATTACATAAATTATAATATAAATATAATTTACACAAATATATAATATTTATATATATAGTTTTAAATATATTTTTTTTAATTTTAAATTATATTTTTGTAAATATTTTTTTATATATTAAAATGAAATAGGACTTGATATTCAGTAAATAATATTTGATTTCTTCGAATCAAGGACAAATACAGAACAAAAAGCGCCTAAGATATCAGTTTAGGAAGTTGCCAGTTTTTCTATAATGTTTTAAAAATCCAGACTGTGAAGTTATCGTAGATAATATGATAGGCAAGTTAAAATTTTGGGATATTCCTACCTTGAATAAATATCTTGACTTTTTTCTTAAAAACTCATAAGTGAGAAGCAAGGGAATGGTTCCTGTAAGACATAAAAATGATGTAGACATGGTACCAGAAAAGGTAAAATACTAACTTGATGGGTTATATAACTGTCATCGGTGAATAGTGAAATACAAGATGGACCTAAAATATTTTTATTCAAGTTATCACATGATAAATACAAATGGTTGCCTTAAATTTTCCGATATTTTTAGAGAACTATAGTGGTTGGTACGTCAAATATAATAGCAAATACGGCTTTAGTAGGTTCAAAAATAGTTAAGATTTAAATATATTTGGTCATAGTACGTTTACAATTTTTTTGTTGTCCCATGTATATTCTCTTTTATTTTTATTAAAGATATAAATTTGTTGATACAGTTACATAAGTTTAGTCTTAGAGAACTGTCTCACTAATAAAAATAAGAATCTCAAAATATCCAAGAAACCCAACTGATTTCCATTGGAATAATCTTCCACGCATAACCATATTAAAACAAGTCGCTGCCATTTCCATAAAGTAGGGCTAATACAGCTTACCTTTACGGTGAGGAGGGATAACATTTACCATTGATAAGGAGTGTTTAAGCATGGGAATCACTTTCACTATTGGAACTTGTAACAGCAAGTAGAGGAACGGCAGCTTCTTCACCGCCGGTCGTAGCAATTCGTGGATTTGAGTCGGATTCAGCTCTAGTGCCGATTCCTCTACGAAGATGTTGAGGAATTGGAGTTGAAGGGAGTTTTGTTGTTTTATTTTCTAGAGCTGGACCAGGCTGTGTTGTTACCTTATGCTCCCGTTTCAACCAATATGTTGTCATTCGTCCCTTTCCCTGTAAATATTTTAGCTTTTAATTTGTTGCAATTTTTCTAAATAAAAAATATATTGAAAATAAAACTATGAATTTTCATCAATATAAAGCATTATTGATGATAATAATAGTGTGTTTGGCATGAAAACTAGTCCTTTTGCCACAGATTTTTAAATGATTTATGTTATGTTTATCAATTAAGAGCGTAGGCGCAAATTTTAGATGGAGCGAATCGGCACCGACTGTCCTATCTCTAGTTTATCTTTCTTTACACAGCAAATTACGTGTAGTTAAATTTTCACTGGTATGAAAGCTTTAAAGCTGTCGGTATCTTGTTTATCCAGAATCGGCTTAGCACATGTATATCTGTGAAAAGCTGTATTGTATAGGTATTGCTCAATTAATTCATAAAGACTCTATTTGTTTCTTTATTTACGTAAATTGAAATATGGGACGTTGTTACAAGAAATGTATTAGTATAAAACGAAGAAATAGACGGTTAGCTCAATTGAAGTAAGTACTTTTTACATAAATTAAATTAATTACTTTTGTATTTTTCTGTAAAACTGATTTGTGATAATTGTACCGTTTTTAAATAAAACGAGCGGTTCGAATTTATATAAATATATTTATTTATAAGTTTACAGTTCGGTCTTCTCGGTTCTAATTCGTTATTTGACGAGTGGAATTTAGTTACTGAGCGTCCCGATCAGTAACTAAATATGTAGGCCCAGGATGGCGGAATCTACAGGCCTCTCCTGCTCTGCATGACCCCCTAAAGAAGAAATAACAGTCTACTGACTTTGAAGGACACGATCTTTTTGGGTTAATGCAACACACAGTAATTCTTCGCCCTGTCTGTATACGACTTTCTGGTCACAATATACAGCAAAGATCGAGAACCATCTTCTAATCTCAGTACTCTTCCAACTTTAGGCTGTTGGTTTTTCAACTCGTCCAAATGACCGAACTTTTTATAAAATACGGATGAGATTCCTTTACCCCTTAAGATCCTGGGCAACACAGTGGGCTAGAGAGACGTTATAAGGAACACTAAAAAGGTCCTGCTGTACTTCTGTCGTCACGCCGAATCTAGCACTCCTTCTCTCTGCGTAATTTGACATAAATTCATTAAAGCTTGGTCGCCGGTAATCTTTGATCTCATGTTGAAGGATTCGGACTCCTTCTGTTTCATTTGAGCCAGCATAAGATGCAAGACGATTTATGTGAACTACTTTTGGTTTACCTTTCGGCAACTTCTTAATTCGGTATATTACGTCATTTATTCTCTTTTTAATATCATACGGACCCTCCCATTGTCTTTGCAGTTTAGGAGACAAGCCACGACGACGTTGTGGATTATAAAGCCAAACAAGATCACCTACTTCATAGCTTTAATTTTTGCATCGAGAATCGTATTGATCTTTCATTCTGTCACTGGCTAACTAGATGTGTTGTCGGGCAAGTTCATGAATGTTGTTCATTCTTAACTTCAGGCGGTCGACATAATCTTCGCTTGCAACATGTTCTTCGGAAGGTCTGCAGCCAAACTCTAGGTCGCAGGGCAAAAGAACTTCACGACCTAACATCAGGCAGGTTGGAGACTGGCAGGTAGTTTCATTCACGGCCGAGTGGTAGGCCATTAGGAATAAATGAATGTGCTGGTCCCAATCTTTTTGATCTTCTGATACAACTTTGTACAGGTGTTTACCCATTGTTCAGTTCATTTTTCTCGACCATTTCATCTGATTGAGGATGCAGGGGTGTCGTTCTGGTCTTATTGACACCAATCAATTTACAAACGTTTTGGAAAAGGGTTGACCCTAAGTTTCGCCTTTGGTCGGAGTGGATCTCTAAGGGAACACCAAATCGGCTAATACTCTTTCCATAGGACTACCAACATTGTACTGTTTCATGAGTGTTCTCTTTTTACCAACTGGACCATTACTGGTTGAACACAGTTCACATTTCCGGCACCATCTTCTTACATCATCTTTACAGTTTACCCAATAAAACCGTTCTCGAACCTTTTGCAGAGTCTTCGTAATACCAAAGTGTCCTCCTGATGCACCGTCATGCAGCTGACGCAATACTTCTGACACTTTACTTTTAGGTACAATCAACTGAAGCTTAGATTCTGTACCATCATCGTTCTCAAAGATTCTATACAGAAGATCATCTTTTAGTACTAGGCAATTCCATTGGCTACAGTAACACTTGACTTCGGGACTACATGCACTAATGTCTTGTCAAGAAGGTCTTCCACTTCGACGCATCGATTCCAATACTCTTTTTATACACGGATCATCTGCTTGAGCGTCTTGTAGCTGTTGTGGCTGCCATTGATCATTAATGACGGTGGTTCGTCTCACGGGGCAAAGTCTTTCTTCTAATCTAAGATAGTGATTACAATGTTCACTGCACGGCCGTCTCGAAAGCGCATCAGCATTTAAATGAACTCTTCCAGCCCTGTGTTCGATCTCGTAATTTCTTGTAATCGTTCTAACTATCTTGCCATCTGTCCCTCTGGATTACGGAATTGTAGGAGCCATTTTAGAGCAGCGTGATCCATGCGAAGAAGAAACTTTCTGCCATATAAGTATTTATGGAAATGCTCGCAAGCCTTTACTACACCTAGCAATTCTCTCCTGGTAACGCAATAGTTTCTCTCTGGTTTCGACAAGACTTTGCTAAAGTAAGTGATGACTTTCTCCTGTCCATCTTGGATTTGGGGAGAGAACAGCTCCTATTGCACTGTTGCTTGCATCAGTATCCAACACAAATTTTCCTGCCTGTCTAGGGTAGCTTAAAATCGGTACGCTGATCAAAGCCATTTGTAAGTGTTCGAAAGCTCTTTGACACTCTTCGCTCCATGTATATTCTTTGCCTTCTTCTGTCAACTTTGTTAATGGCTTGGAGATGTTGGCAAAACCTTTGACAAAACGTCGGTAATATGTACATAGGCCAAGAAAACTTCTAATTTCGTGTTTATCTCTTGGTACTGGCCAATCCTTAATTGTTGCAAGTTTTTCAGGATCAGCTGTTACACCATTACTTGCTACAATATGTCCCAAGTACTTCACTTCTCGTCGAAACAAGTGACATTTCTTCGGACTCAACTTTAAATTTGCTGCCCACAATCGTTGAAATACTTCTGTAAAATTATTGGCATGATCATCGAAGGATCTTCCTACTACAATTACATCATCCAACTAAACCAGGCATGTTTTCCATGTTAGACCTCTTAAAACTGCCTCCATTAATCTTACAAATGTGGCCAGGGCATTACATAAACCAAAGGGCATAACTGTGAACTGCCAAAGCCCTGATCTTATCGAGAATGCGGTTTTCTCATGATCAGCTGGCTCCATGTCTACTTGCCAATATCTACTTTTCAGATCGAGTGTGGAAAACCAACGAGAACCACAAAGTGTATCCAAAGTATCGTCTATTCTCGGCAAAGGATAACTATCCTATTTAGTTACTGCATTGAGCTGTCGGTAGTCAATACAAAAACGTGTTGAACCATCTTTTTTCTTTACTAGCACTACTGGTGATGTCCATGGACTGTTAGATGGTTCAATTACTCCTTGTTTGTTCATATTTTTGGTGATGTCTTCGGCTTCATCTCTTTTCGCAAATGGAAGTCGTCTAGGTTGTTATCTGATTGGCTGAGCGTCTCTGGTATTAATTTTATGCTTTACTATGCTTGTTTTGCCATTATCCTTCTTATCAATGGCGAAAACATCTTGAAATGCTATCAGCATAGACTTCACTTTTTTAGTTCTTTCATCATCAAGATCTTGGCACGTTTTAATCATCGTCCCAACAAGGTCCTTTGGATACTTAGATTTCGACGGTTTCTCATTAGCATTTATGGAACAAATCGAAGCCCCGAGAACACACTGTCAGATCAAAGTTCTTTTACTTAGCTTAATATCAGTTGCCTTTAAATTCATAACTCTTACAGGAACGACATCTCGAATTCTCACCAAAGCTTTTGCCGTTAGGAACTCGGCATTGTTCACATCTTCGACCATCCTTAAACTTCCCTCTCGGCAGTAATCATCAGGTCTGGTTATCAAAATTTTCTCACTATTACCGGGTATTGTTACGTCGCAAGTGGTTATTAAGCTGATAACATCTTCTTTCTCTTCATAAAACGGCAACTCTTCACCACTGATCTCGAGAACTCCATCTTTGACATTCAATACAGCCCCAACTTTCCTTAGTAAATCCATCCCCAATATGAACTTATCGGAGATCTCTGCAATTAATACTCCATGTTTCACTGTGGTCTGGCCAATGGATACTGACATATTAGCCTCGAAGTATGTATTAATGATCTCACCAGTTGCTGTTCTAAGCTTTACTGTTGCAGGCGATAATTTAAGATGGTCTCGTACTACTTCTTGCCGTGCAATAGTTCTTGTAGCACCTGTATTTACCAAAAAACAATCTACATTTATTGTTAATACGACCCTCGATGTACAAGCTATGAATTCCACCGGAGGACGTAATGTTCATAGTTACTATGGGGGCTGTGTTTCTAGAGGTCGGCAGTTGCCCCTTGGTGTCGACCCGTTCTAGTTTTCCGGCTGTATCATTTTCTTGCAATTACGGCGGATGTGGTTCGTCGCCTTCTTCAATGATTCGTACTCGATGGCTACGTGAAGTTTGACTAGCTGTTTCATGTTACAAAGCAATAGCGAGCGCTTCGTCTAGAACTTTCGGTCTTGCTAGTCGTAAAGCTTTCTGTAATTCGCTTTCTTTTAACCCATTGACGAAGGTATCTATAGCAATTTCTTCCAAAATGTTGTCTGGTACCTCCGAATAAGCCAACTGCACTATACGAGCAACATCTGCTGCAAACTCTTGCAAATTTTCGTTTGCTCGTTGAACTCTACTTCTTAGTTGCTACCTTGTAGACTTGTTGTAGATGGGCATCTCCGTAACGTTTATCTAGTCGAGTGAACAAGGTCTGGTAACATTTTTCCTGACCCTTAGGAATCGATCTTAGG